TAAAAAAAACTTGAATATGATTGTCGCAGTTTTCAAAATATTGAGAATAATAATATTCCCCCAAAAAAATTTTTTTTAAGAATACCGATTAGTTTAGAAAATTGATTACTTTGATCAAAGATCGATTTTTAACTACAAAATAGTGATTATTATACTAAACAATTACTCGTCTAATTTATCATCAAATAAAGATAGCTGAAAATTGATCTTCGATCAAGTTCTAAGTTGATCAGGTAATCGGGTATTCGCAAAAAATTTTTTATTATGACAAAAAACACTTACGACATGCATCTAATTCAACACTCTCAACAATACCACCGGGTTTCAGAACTCGTCTGATATCGTTTAACAATGGGACCCATTGATCTTCTTTCATAACCAAATGTAAATATCTCATAAATACATAATCAAATTCATTATCTTCAAATGGAAGACCATCTTTTATATTGCATTCCATAAAATGGCAATTAGAAGGTTTTATTTCGGTAGGAAATTGTGGCATAATGTCTACACCGTAGATTTCTGCCTGTGGAAATTCTTGAGCTATCTCAAAACTTTAATTTGATTACAATTAAAAATGTAAACCTTGATTTTGAAGTAATACGAAATAGTTGATATTAATGTATTTACCTCCAATGACCAGCGCCACAAGCAATATCCTTCAAAGTGAAATTCATCTTGCTTTAATCACACGTATTTATATATAAGCCTGAATAATTTGAATATTAAAGCTTACCAGAATTTTACTTCCGGGTTTAATAATCTTTGGAAGTGGAGCCGTGTAATTTCCACCGATTGTTACTTTGAGCCTAAAATGTTGCAGCTGAATTCTATCCGCCTCTTCCCAATCGACCGGATACTTTTTATACATACAAAGATAATTTAAATATTAAGTATACTTCAATTATATCATATGAATTTTTTTTTACCAAATAAGTCTCTTCACTAAAGTATGGTCTTCCATCCAATATCTTTACAGGCGTTGCAAATTTATTATCGTTGCAGCTTTGATGCGATTTTAATGACGAACTATCAGAACAATCATTGACGGACAAAGTACTATTATTTCTATCTTTTCTTCTTCTAAATGATCTTTTGTATGATAACGAATTTCCCATAGTTTTTTTTTATCAGTGGGATTAGGTGCTGTATTAATATACGTACGTAATACACATATCTCCAGAATATGTGCTTGGCTTAATTTTTAATTAGTAGAATAAAATGTATGTTTCAACTAAAAAAGAATGTGATAATAATATCGAATATCAAATTCGAAATAGTAAAAAAAAATAGGCTATTCAGGTGGAATAGCAAGTAAACAATTATACTAAAATTTCAATAGCGTCATTATATACAGGCGTATGAATACGCGTACAATAGCACGGATAAATGATTTTCCGTTGGAAAATAAATCATGGAAATGATTGCTAATATAATGTCGCATACGCAGGCAAGTAAAACCTGTTAACTGTTGCATTTTCATAACTTTTAAGAGAATTTCGTCGTTATTTTGTTAATGGTAAATTTTTCCAGAAATAATTTGTACACTTTTAATTACATAACAATTTTACGTAATATTAGGAGACCTTCACGGAAATTACTTTCTTTTTGGGTTAAAATACGTATGCATGCGTTCGAGTTTGTTTTTTTTTTACAATAAGAATGCATTGACCAAGCAAATCAAAAAAGTAAATTCACATGCATCCGTACATATACACGTACGTACGCATCCGTATGCGTGTAACGCACAGATATGCACATACGTACGTACGATTTATCATGCGACTTACGTAATTTTTTTTCTTAAAAATGGCCAAGAGTAACTACCGCAGTAAAGCTTCCTTTTTTTTTTTTTTTTTGCATAACAAGCTTTAAAATTTTACGCAGGAGAGTATTTATTAGATTTTTTTCTTTTTTTTTTTTTTTTTTGCAAAGTATAAAAAAAGTAAATTATTAATAGATTTTCAGATAATTATTAAGCCTGCGAATTATGCAACTTTATATATTTGTATAATACAAAAACCTTTAATACTTATTAGGGAAAAGATTTTTCCTTAAATTAATTTCTAAAACTAAAAATTATCTTGCAATAAATAAAATTGCTTACGTATAAGTTATTGCAAAAAACTATATTCCCAAAAATTGATTTACTGTAACTAATAAATAAGTTATAATATTTTTACTTGTTAGATTTTATGGGGCCTTTGCAAAATATTTATTCAATTTAATTAAATAATTTTGCTTTAAAAAATGTTTGCACAAATAATATTTTAAATTTTTCATCTTTAATAATATATGATAAATTTTGATCAATTTGTTATTAAACTTCATTAATACCATTGCATTGTATAAATTACAATATTATTTTTAATCAGTCTTGGTCGATATATCATCCCACAATCAAATATCATACCACTTTCGAGACCGTTCGATTTGGCGTACAGATAAAACCATTTAAGAATTCTCATTTCCTAAATATGGCAAGTATAATATAACAAGACTTTATGAAAACTTTCGGCGTTTAAAATTGCATGCACGAGATACATAAGTACAGATGTTCAAAAAAGATTTTATAATAATGCTCGGTATGTATCTAAAAGTTGTACAAAAATAGATTTCCTTTTCACTTGCAGCAAAAAACTTAATATTTTGACCAATCGCTATTGAACTACTAAAAAGGTTAGCATATTGGCATTTGACTTTGTGACAACATCACTCAAATAATGCTATACTTATGAGGTTAAGTATTTTTCTAATTTTAACACCAGGATAAGTTTAGTTTAAATTACAATACCGCGTTATATAACTTTGAAATATGTTTGGCCAACAGCAACCTAGCGACTATCACTAGAGGAGTTTTGGAACCATCGGTTTATCTGTTAAAGCAGGTTAACCCGATTTTAACATATGAAAAATAAGACCGGTTCTAAACTTTGACAATTAAAAACTAGCGGGACTTATTTCGATTTATTACTTAATGATAAATTTTTCATTATTGGTATCCCTTACTTTGTAAGCGAATTGCCGGTCCGTAGATATCCAATGATCCCGTTTTTACCAAAATTGCTTGTACAATTCCGCAGTTATGTCGGCATTACAAATACGTACATACGTACCTGGTATGTACAGAGATTATTAATATTTATGCACGTCGGGCATTTAGAGGTAGTACAAGAACGTGATTTCAAGAGACCCCAAAAAGTGAGCAAGAAATAAAAGATTAGAATGGTCGACCGTGTGCTAAAAATAATTACATTTTTCAAATATTAGCGAACAAATCGATTTAGTCTTCTTATGATACCATGCATCCTTAGATTAATAATTTGTCAAGAAAATGCAAATTGCAGGCAAATTTGCCTGCAAAGCAGAGTAAGGGATAATAATTATCTAGCTAACTAAGTTGTATGGTTTCGGTAGATTTCACCGATAGTCATTTCGCGACAAATTAACTTATATCCACTTTATGAAGTAGCATACATACTGACACGAGGTTAACACGCTAGCGTATGCCTCCGATGTAATATTGCAGGTTCCAGAATGTGTTTTCTTCATATTGTTCATATGAATAAAAGTAAGAAAATATTTTTAATAAAGGAAAAGAATCCCATTTCATTGTAGTCATAATAATTTTCTTTCGTCAAGCTCTCATCATCATTTGTTCGTCTTTATAAATTACTATGCTCATTAGAAACCTTGTATTATTCAATCCATATAACATCCAGTAATGGCTGGAGCTACACTGTGCATTCCAAAATTAGCGTTACACCCGAGTTTACCCAATAATCGTACATATTTACCCGTTAAAGTGACGTGTTTAAATAATCTAGGCACTTCAAGGCCCTCCCTTAAGGAACCTGATTGGCCTCTCTGATTAAACAGTCTAATCAGATCCTTTATCGAATTTATTTGGAGCACACCTAATCAGGTCATAAATGTGCCGTTTAAGTTATCGAATATCAGAACTTTGAATTGGTTATTAGTTTTAACCGACAGGTATAAATGACACGCCAGGTAACAACTCGAGCTTTGGCTTTTAAAAAAATGAGCTGCTGTAAAATAGTTAAGTGATATGCTCTTTACGGGTAGTTTGTCTGATAATAAGACTATATGTGAGGTACATTGCTGTATTATTCATGTAAGTTGTACTATTTTGATCTAAAATTTGTAGGCAAATTCATTAAAGGAATAATATTTAATACCTATAAACCTTACAGAATATACTCATTAATTTAGAATAATTTATTCTTGTAAAAGTTACAGGAGCATTAACGGTGCTTTAATCTTTCAATCTTGAGCTATAAATAAAATACATAGTTTCCCAAAAAAAAAGTTTTTTTTTTACTGTTGATCTAATTTTATTAACTTTTAATCTTATACGTAACTTTAAATTTTGTTAATAAAAATTATAAATATGAAAGCTTTTATAGTTATATTATTAAACATTATAGATGTATTTTATTGATAATTTCTAAACAAAGTATTTTTGATTATAAACAAGGAGAAAACTTAGCTAATAAATCATTATTCATTCACGATTGAATTTTTTTGGTGGTTAATTCGGTTGGTCAATTATCATGTTGTGATCGACTTAAGTTAGCTAATCAGATGAATGTCATCCTATGAAACTGCAATTTTAACCTATTTCAAGCTTTTGTTACTATTAATAAGAGCTTACAATAACTTTGACCAATTTAACTTCGAACGTGAACAAAAGTTTTGTTTAATAATGCTTAGTAATCACTTTGAAACGATCGAAGGGCCGATAAATTAGGTTGTGTGAGCAAAAGATAGAAGTAATTTATTAAGTAGTGACGAACACAAAATAATTTGAGTATAGAATCAAGTTTCTAACTGCAGGTTAAAGAGTACACTTTAGTAACGTTCTCTTTGAATGCATGCAAGAAATTAATACATATAATTACGCCCGAGCGTAAATGCAACTAATAATATAAATAAGTGTGGAAGATAATTATTACTTTCATAAGCTGAACCCCGTCCTTTATATATCTTTAGATTTTATTTTAGAATCTGATACCTTACTAATGGTTTCCTTCCCATCTGAGCGTCGTTGAAGCCAGCTTCCAACCCTCATTGAGGGTTGAACACACCTAGCTGTACCTCATCGATCTTTACTAGATCAAACCAATAACGGTAATAAACATGGCGATACAATTCGTACGTATCATGCAGATCATTGCCAAAAACCTAAAACAAAATAAAAATTCTGATCGATATTCAGTCAACACTCTCTAATTGCAACGTTAATTTCGGTCCAAAGTATATGTTTGGTTTTTATAAATTCCCTATAAATGCAATTTATTTTAATTGTTCTTTTTTCATTATTCTAAAAGTCTGGTCCCGACGAATTGCACTTTGAAAGAGTTGGCTGCATTTTTAAAAAAGAAAATCAGTTCTGAGAACATAAATTTTGTTTAAAAAATGGGAAATTATCACGATATTCTAAATCCTAACTCATCAAAAGTAAGTGTATTAACTTTTTCGTTAATATATCACTATTCAGATGCCATAATTTCAATTTCATTTTTATAGCAGCCAAAACTCTTATGATCTAGTGATCGGATCTGCATCATTTTTTAAAGTATGTATGCAGCGATCACATATCGGGATTTGGGTTTACTAATTCCCCGATAACAAATATTAACGAAGCCAGACATATCATTCAATTGTGGTCCAAAGATGATGTCCTGTTTTCTTTAGATTACGAAGAATCTATGCTAAACTTCATCAAAAAGAATGTGAGTTCTATTATTACTATTATTATTAGAGACCTTTTATTGTCACCCCACTTTTGTTAACGCTACCCATTTTGGCTCCGACCTATAATTATGTAACATGAACAAAGCATAAATCATGTAACTGCGCAGAAATTTATTTCTTGCAGAAATAGGTTACATGATTTGGGGCACGTGACCACCAAACCAGTCAAGTTTATAAAAAACCAGATCAGGTTTTTTGAAACAACTTTGGGTTCAAAAGTAACCCAATTTGAGTTCTTTAGGTCAATTTCTGGTTCAAAAATAACCCTATTCAGGTTTTTTGAACTAACTTCTGGTTCTAAGTAATCCAATTCAGGTTTTAAAATAACCCAATACAGATT